TGCACTCATATTATTAATAATAAAACTTTAAGGGGGGCGAAGACATATCATATCGTTGGAAAGGCTGGGCCGTGCCACACCTCAAGTACATCATCCCATTGGTTAAAAAAAAAAGAATACGTGTTGCCGCAAACCATGTTATGTGCGTAACAAAACTATGTCCAACCCTTAGTCAACAACATATACATTTTTCCATGTTTTTGGCGCGAAGATACCGCAACTTGAAAATGATTTCCCTCCTCGTATCGAATATTGATAGTAGACAATCCGGTCAACCGAGAAGCCTCAACAAAAGCATTCTTTAAAGGCTACATATAAAATTGAATGAATAAATCAGATACAAAATAAAGCAATAATTCATTGTTACACTAAAAAAGAGACTATGATGAATATACCATTGCATGTAGGTGATACCAATGCAATTCTTTTTCAAGAATTCTCTCCATATCTCCGAAACAGGAAAAAAAAGTATGTGAAAAAGTTGAAGAATGTACATCATGTTGAATGTTAATTTATAGTAGAGTTAGAGAATATAAAAAAGGTAACAAAAAAAGTAATTAATATAAATTGATGTAATTACCTATTTTATCTATACTACTTAAAAAATAAACATGTAGGAGAAATAAAATTTAAAAATCATTATTGTGAAATTAATTCATTAATACTATGGGTGACTATGGTAAGTTGGGTTATTTTAAAATTTATAATAATATGTGATATATGTGGTGGAACATAATTGCATTTCAGTCCCACGATTTTTTAATGAAAATATTATAATAAAAAAAAACTCATTAACCAATAAAAAGACACTATTTTGCCATGTAGGATAGATAAAATTTGAAAATTGGGTTTTTTTGGCAATTAATATAATATTGTGCATAAAATTTAATTAACCCAAATTAAGTGGAATGTTCATTTATATATTTACGTTTTTTAATATGAAGCAATGGATTAAAAAGGAAAATCAATAACCAATAAAAAGACACCATTTTGACATGTAGGAGAGATAAAAAATTAAAAACCAATAATGTGAAATAAATTCATTAGTAATATGGGTGAATATGGTAAGTGGGGTTATTTTGAAATTTATAAAATATTATGGACTCAATCTCCTCAATTAGAAAACTTTGATTGTGTATCTTAGTTTTATATATAATATAGATTATCTCCACCACTACCTAAAGTAATAGTCCATTAGAACCCTATCGGGATAATGTATCCATTGCATTATCCTGTTAGAGTTTCTAACTACGTTTCATGGGGGTGAGTGTATCAATCCTATCATATTTATGTATTTTACATACTAATGAACGATTAAGAATTTCGCTAATTACGTTGTATTACGAAGTAATACGATGGTTATTTCTATGCTATACTTGATGAAGGTTATATCGAGGGGGTTTTAATTGTAGATCTACATACACTGATGTGGATGTATGTATTTATATGAATGGTAAAAACTTACTTAGTGCATCGGACAAAGATTTTGCCTAGAGCTATAATAATCAATCGTGCTTCAAACAAATAAAATAAATGTTACCCAATCCGTTCTTTTTTAACTTGTCTCTTTTCAGATTTGCACAAATATTAAGAATCATAATAAATATGGCTTGATTTAAAAAAAATATATATACATAAAAACGACTAATATAAGCTTATTATTTAATCGTGTGATAAGAGAGTTAATATTTAATAGAGTTGAAATAATAAGGGTAAAACATGAAAAAATGCATTTAATACAGTATTGAAAATTTAAAAAATAACAGATAATATGGAATAAAAATATTTTTTTTCTAAAATGATAGTTGTTGTAGAACGCATGGAGTGTTTGTCTGTGATTTTTAGAAATCAAATTGTTGGTGATTTAAAACTTTTACCATTTATTACATAAATTGTTTGGCGGTAAGATTCTTAATACTCTTATTAAATGACTTTCGCCTATTGGTTCGAGGTTTTTATCTATTTTCTTTTGAGAATGAACACCCGATGAGGGTGATGGTTGGGCTGGACCCCCCCCCCGTCCTGTCTATAGATCAAAAACCAATAATTACATAAAGAGTCCAAGACAATAAGCTACAGGTCGAAAATGGCTAAATATGCAACTGCCAAAAAAAATTAAGAAAAGTTTTATTATTTCTGATGTGTTCTCACTTCGTCGAGCATAGCTGGAGCTGGGTGTGGAAGTTGATAGCGCAAGGGGATCGCGTAGTTAGACTAACCAAACTTCAGTGGAGGATAATATAATTTACTCAATATTCGATCAAAAGTAGACATGAATTTTCTAAAACGTCAATGATGGTCATATGGTGTTAAAAAATCGCTAATTCGCGTAACCACGAGCTAAACCTGCAAATTTTTATAACATAAAAACTTCAAAACTAAAACTCCGTAATTTTTGCGCACAGACGAAGCATGAATCTTATTATTTAAAGGCAATAACACAACAAACTTGCCTTAGCAACAGAAATACTTGCACTACAAGAAACAAAAGCATGAGTCCAACCGAACTGCCAACATATTATTTAAACAACCGGAAACAAAACAGAACATCGTAAATCAATTCTCCGAATTCCTCTTACCTTTCACAAATGAAGACAAAAAATCGTTCCCTCGCTATCGTCTTTTTCTGCATGCTCTGCGTTTCTTCGAAATGTTCGGAGGATCGAAAAGTGAAGAACGAAACGGAGACTATGGAACAAAGATTCAATGATTGGCTTAAAACGTACAGACAGACGTACAAAAGCACCAACGAATGGAACTTCCGATTCGGAATCTATCAGTCAAATGTGCAGTATATCGACTTCGTCAACTCACAGAATCTTTCTTACAGTCTAACCGACAATCAATTTGCGGACATGACGAATCACGAGTTCCAGTCGATCTACTTGGGCTACAACAATAGTAATCATCTTCATGGGAATTCAGTTGAAACACGCAATGGCACGCTTCGTAATTATGCTCTACCGGCTAGCATTGACTGGAGAAAGAAGGGTGCTGTCACTCCAATCAAGAATCAAGGCACTTGTGGTACAAATATTTTCTTGTTTTTGTGTCTGTTTAACTTTTTTCGCACTAATTGGGACGCATGCACGCATGATTCTTATCTCGATTATACGTAACTACACACACTATTTTCTCTTAAAAGAAGATTCATTTACTATTGGAGTTTCAATTTGAGGATTTACTTTATTTTTTGTTTCGAAAATTGGATTTCAACGAGAAGGAAAAGAAAAAAAATGAAAATAGAGTTAGAGGGTGTTTGGCTAAGCTTATAAGCTGTTAAAAAGATTTAAGAGCATATAAGCTCTTCTAAAGCGTTTGGTAATATTTTACAAAAAGATCTTAAAAATTCAAAAAATAATTTGCTGCCTCTACCCCACCCTTTTATTTAAAATGTTATAATGAGTAAAAATAGCTTATAAGATCATTATCCAAACATTTTAAACATTAATTCTAAAAATAAGACGTAACAACTTATCAACTCATAAAACAGCTTATCAGATGTAAGAGCCTATCAACTGTGTAAAATAAGCTTTGCCAAACGAAACCTAATAAAAAAACAAAAAAAATATTTCAACCTACTCTCAATGCCATACTAGAATAGAAAAGCAGATAATCGAACATTCAATCGGCTAGAATGGCAAACACATACACTAAAACATTGATATAGAGTTCGGAAAATACTTCAAACTACGAAAAACTTGTTCCGTAAAACGGGACAGAAACCAAATCTACTGACATTGAAAATAATACCTAATAGATTTTTATTGTAAGCCAAATACCTAAATATATTCTAACAATTTTCATTTCCGAGAATTTCTTCGACGATAATCTAGAGAAAAAACATTAATTAATGAAAAAAAATCGTTAAAAAAAATCCTACTTGTGTTTTATTTAGGCAGTTGCTGGGCGTTTTCTGCAATAGCAGCAGTAGAAGGCATAAACAAGATCAAGACCGGAAAATTGGTAACTCTATCCGAACAAGAGTTAATGGACTGCGACACGAAAGGAGGCAACCAAGGTTGCAGCGGTGGAATAATGGAAGACGCGTTCGATTTCATAATAAAGAACGGGGGCGTAGCCACATCAAAGGATTATCCTTACAAAGGGAGAAACGATAAATGCGACTCCAAAAAGGGAAAAAATAAAGCAGCAAAAATAAGCGGCTACAAATACGTACCCGTCGGAAACGAAGAAAATCTAAAGGCTGCAGTGGCTAAACAGCCGGTGTCGGTAGCCATTGATGCCGGTGGCTATAACTTCCAGCTTTACTCGAGTGGTGTATTTGACGGCTACTGCGGGCAGAGTTTGAATCACGGGGTTACGGTTGTGGGGTACGGTGTGGATGGTGGTAAGAAGTATTGGCTTGTGAAGAATTCGTGGGGGACTAGTTGGGGTCAAAAGGGTTACGTTAAAATGAGCCGTGGTTCGTCGGATAAGAACGGTATTTGCGGCATTGCTTTGCAGGCTAGCTACCCTACAAAGTGATCTTGACGAAACGAAATGTAAAAAAACAAAATTGGGTTCTAATAGGTAAATAATCTCACCATCGTAATATCTGAAAAAACAAAATTAAATAGCTTTTCTAGATTTCTACACAAAGAATCGAAAAGCGTTCCACTAGTAGATGGTTTAATATGTTATAATTTACTGTTTTATCTTACCTATGAAGAATGTAATAACGTTTAACGGGAGTTAGATTAGACTGTCGATTTGTCTTCCAACTACATAACATTTAATTTATGGGGCAGCTCATTTCTAGACAAGCTCACTGAAAATCCGGGGGGGTTGAGTTACTTTAAATTTGAATTTCAGAAGAGTTACAATCGTAGAAAGAGTAACTGAACATTTTACGGCACAAGTGTTGTAATAACTGTTATTGGAAAAAAAAAACATGATAATATAGTACCTGAAAGGTAGGCATGGGTACGGCTCCGATATTCACGTGCTTTATGAACCAGCCAAGTTCAGACAGGTACTTATCAAAACGCATGAGATGATCCAACCTTCACCACTCAAGAGTGGAGGGAATATAACTGAAGCTGCAAACACGAGTTTTTCTGCAACAAGAATAAACGCATGCGAAGAAGCACCGCGGTAAGAATAAGCAATTGATGCAAAAACATTACCTGATGTTTTATTGACATTAGAATTTCAACATAATTGTTTACGAATCAGACTGATAAATTTTATATCCAATATTCGAAAATAACCAACAAGAAGAATGCCTTACTACAAACTGACCATCCATATATATACGTTACAGGTGACGAATAATTTGCTTCTCCTGTGACAAGATTAAGTCATGATGCCGACTCCTTTATTTCTCGAGAGACTGTAATTTTCAAGTGTTCTGAACCATACCACGGTATTTAATTCTACATCTGATTGTAAGAATATAGTTCGCAATTAAAAAGTAATGAAACCTGTTTCAGTTAAGAGTGTCCTTAAACGACCATCGTCTCCGATTTCTTGTAAGGATCAGTTTCGTGGAAAACGAATATACACAACAGTAAGATGGTCGTGTTTTTTACTTTTTTTTTTCCGGGAATGAAATGTACACGATCAAATAAGCATTACAGAATACAAAATTTCTCATCGGGAACTTCTTCTCCTGATCTTACGCCTGCGAAATAGCAGGAAAGAAACGACAATAATAACAAGAGCCGCTTGGAGAAACACCAAGGCCTTCAATCCTGGAATAGCAACTCAACAGTCATTCTTACGAGCGTAAGATACATACACAGCTTAACAGGTCGATGTGATACATAGACAAGTACCTTTGAGTTTCGGTGCTGAGTCATCGATCTTAATCCCGGATTTATTTTTTCTTAAACTTGTGACTGAGGAGTCATAATTTGTTCTCTGATATACAATACCCCCACCCATGATACAAGTGTTGGGACAAAAGACGTTTCCGTCGTATTCGTCACTTCCGTCGCAGCAATCTATAAGAACGAGTTACTATAAATAAATCAGATATGTCAATAATATGAGTTGGCAAAAAGCAATCGAAGATATATATATAAGCTAAAACGATACAATCATAAACATTATTTTCTTAAGCATTAACTATATAGTAACCAATTTGACATGTATACAAAGTCAAATCCAGTTCATGGATGAGCCAGAAAAACGAGTAAGAGCATTAAGTGCAATGTTTTTTTTTTCAAGAATCGGGACTATATAAATAGCATAAACATGATTTCACCAAGATATGTAATAAACACATACAAGTCAACCAAAACTATGCTATAATCCAAAACGAGGTTTAAATCAGAAATTGTTACACTCACCACATATGTGATCGTTCACGCGAGAAGAAAACAAAAATCTTGGTGTACTTCCCGTGTTTCTGCAGTAGAATCTTCCCGAAGGACATGCCGGAGTTCCTACATAACCAAAAAATTAAAAGGGTATTGAGTATCATATCACTCCACACTAGTAGTGAAATAAGTTATGCATATTTAATGAGATATTTTTTATCGGCAGCAATAATATGGATTTCAGTGCTACGCACAAATGTTCTTGAAGAACATACTACGAACTTCAAAATTCATGATCTTTGAAACTAGACAATAAGCTCTGGCTAGAAGAAGAATGAAAACAAAAGGAGGCATACAGATATCTACTTCCATCCGAAAAACAACAAGACGTGTGCAGAACTATTACATCATGAAGATCAAGTCCTAAGATAGAAGGACTGCATATGACAGCTTCGGTCGGCAAATGAACCATTGAACTAAAAATTTTGATTTCATTCTTCTTTAGTGGGCCCGCACATTTTTATCTGTATATAAGTTTTTCAAAACATATTCTCCCTTTTGCTTATACGAACTAAACTTTACAGTTGAGTCCATAATCAAATGGATTGCATAGTGTAATGATGAATTCAAAGTGCAGAGGACATATTTCTTCTTAAATTTAATACCGGAGGGCGAGATCCGTTTTTCCTTCCCCTGAATTCATAAAAACAGGGGAAGGACATCAAAATCTTACCAACAAACACATTCAACCCAATCTTAATTCACATACTTTCAATGTAACATACAAGAAACCCCAGATTAAATATAACTGCACTACTTAATCATCAGCTAAGGCCCCGTTTGGTTGGCAAGATAAGATTAGATTAAATAATCTAATCAGACTCAATTATTTTATTGGAGCTTGAAACGTCCAACAAAAAAAAATCATTAGAAGGCAAGATAAGCCATGATTATATAATTTTGGCGGGTCGACCCTGCAATTTATTGAGGATACCAAACATCAAATTAAGTCCAACTATTTAGTTAATCATGGCTTATCTTGACAACCAAACGGTTCTCTAAACTCTAAATTTAAAGCATGGTAGCTCACATAACGAAACAAACTGCGAAATTCATTTTTCTCCAACATTAATTGTAAACGACTGTGACAAGAAAACAAAAAAATGTGTTTAATTACCAGGTTCATCGGTGCCGTCGGCGCAATCGCAAAAATTGTCGTTGAGGCGGTCACTGGTGAATGATCTCGATCCATCTTTGCATTTGATCACCGCCGCGTCGTAGTAATTCTCGTCTGCACATAAAATCCCCAATTCAATTTGCAGGTGTGTGTGTGTGTGTGTGTGAGAGAGAGAGAGAGAGAGAGAGAGAGAGAGAGAGAGAGAGAGAGAGAGAGAGTGAACCTAAAGGGTGGACTCCGGTAAGTAGACGAGGAGAGGAATACGAGAGGTTGAAGTGGAGACAAATATATATACAAGTGACGACAGCAATAATCGTCGCCATTGCCATTTCTAGGTTGGTTTTCCAAGCAACAATCGCCTCTTCTCTTCACTCTACAGTCACATTCGTGTGTGTGTGTGTGAGAGAGAGAGAAGAAGAAGAAGAAAGAAGTACGGCTAGACATGTCAGGCTCCCCGGTTCGACCCGTATCAAAATTGGTCCGGGTATGGGTCAATTAACCGGGTTTGACCGGTCCGCCTAAGCAAGAACGGGTTAAGGGTCGGGAGCCCGAATCATGAATTGAACCATGGTTCGAATTTGGCAAATATACCATTTTTTTTGGTAAATTAGAACAATCCCTGGTATGGTCAAATTATGAAAAACACTCTCATGTTTGGGTAATTACAATCACCCTTTAACTATAAATCTTCTTACATGTCCACTCTTGCGGTTTCAAATTCAGTGGAATCTTCTAAATTATATGGAACGTATTCTCAATTTTGTACCTGTTTTATCATATTCGAGCTCCACACTTTGAAGTTAGATGATCATAAGATGCGTGTTTTGGCTTGTACATATCAGATTGTGGTGCGTCGGAAACTGTATTTTTGCATAAAACAAGTACAAACTAAAGAACATTCTGCTGAATCTAAAAGAAGATTATGTTCAATTTGACCATAAGAATGGATATGAAAGAAAATTCATAATTGAAGAATAAATTTAACTATCCAAATATGGAGTTTTTTTTTTTTTTTTTTAATTTGACGATATATCAGGGTCACGGGGTGGTTGTAATTTACCCCTTTTTTTTAATTTGAGATCAACATATATATCGTTAATGATTGTATTATTTTATATTTAACTATTGATGACAGGTTTGACTCTCGAATTTTTTATATAGTCGAGATTTGTTGACAATTGATGTTTAACGGCACATATTATTTCACAGTTGACAACAGCCGAAAAACAAACGAGTCGTTTGAATCAACAAGTTGAACTAGCTAAAAGATTTTTATTTGTAGGATCTCAGGGGCTATTAGTTCTTC